GGCAAGGGTCCCAGTTAAAAATGCGATTTTTTAGTACTGAAATCGACGGTTCTGGGTGGCTTCTCGCTTTCTGGGTTTTTGACCAAAACCGAGCTTCACCGGCTTCAGGATTTCAAGTTTTTCACGTTCTGTCAAGGTTTTTCAAAGTTTTTCAGTTTGTTTTAGGTTTTCCAATGTTTTTCAGGGTGTTTCAGGGTTTTTTAACCCTCAATTCTGATGACGGGCCACCCCGGCGACCTTTTCACAGCCTAGTTTGGGGTCGTATTTTCCAGTTTTAAAGGCAAAATAGTCTTCGGAGACCCTTCCTTGCCTCAAACTCCGACCCCCCCTTGAGAGGGAAAGTTTGCCTCCCAAAACACCCCAAATGAGGGGGACCCCAGGATCGGCAAGGGTCCCAGTTAAAAATGCGATTTTTTGAGTACTGAAATCGACGGTTCTGGGTGGGCTCTCGTTTTCTAGATTTTTGACCAAAACCGAGCCTTCACCGATCGGGGCTTCTAAACCGTAGGGTTTAGGGCCCTAAGAGCATAAAGGACTTATTGCGGGCCTTAGATTAAATTTCGGGTTTTGGGTCCGTTAGAAATTAAAATGTTTTGGACCAATTGGACTTTCAGCTTTAAGCCTACCGGGAAAGTATTGAGTGAACTTTATATTTTCTCAATGTTATGGGTTTCTTGGGTGGGTGGGATTTTTTTCCAACGCTTGACAAGCTGCTTGACTAGTGAATGCTCGAACTTGAGATGCTGAACCCTAAACCCTAAACCCTAAACTAAACCCTAAACCCTAAACCCTAAACCCTAAACCCTAAACCTTAAACCCCAACCCGAAACTCTACACATTTGGCCGAGCAAGCCCTGGGAGCAACTTGAGGTGTTGTGGTTGTGGGAGTAGGGGGTAGGCGGGTAGAGGGTAGGGGTTGACCCTTAAAGCACACCTTTTAGGCTTCAGCTTATGTCACCCCAACCTCCGTACACATTGTTAAACCCTAGTTAGAGAAATCCTGCCTAGACCCCTCCGTACTGGTGGCAGGGCTCTTTTGACTTTAGATAGGAGGAATAAAGGCAAGTTGTGGGGTTCTGGTTCCACAAACCAAAAGCCCAGTACGCCTCCAAACCGTTTGGCTGAAGGCTGCGGGTCCCTAAACCCTTAAACCCTGAACCCAGAACCCTGAACCTAAACCCTGAACCCAACCTGTCCCGTGCTTCTTGTGGAAGGTTTTGGCAATGGCGGCTCCTGGGCTCAATTTCTGACGTCGTGTGCCTCAAGACAGGAACAACAAGAAGCGTAGGAACAGCCCTAAACCCTACGTTCTTGGTGGCACGCAACAATGCTTGGGGATGAGGTGGGGTGGACCTAAACGTTGGACCTTTTGCGGGGGATTCCGAACTGTAAGACTATAAGTATACTCTGTGCTCTCTCAATGAGACCTGACCAAACCCTAAACCCTAGACCCTAAACCCTATACCGTAAGATATATCAACCCCAGTAAAATTGCATATTCTGGCGAAGCGCCTGGGAAAAAGACCCGGGGGTTTTGTCAGAAGAGCGAAAACGAAGTGAAAACAGGCCGGCCTCCTACGTACAAGCCTCCCTCCCCATCTCGCAACATGCTTTGCTTTCGGGTTTGTGTTTAGGGTTTGTGGTTTAGCTGTATCTTCAAACTAGGTTACGCTGGCACATTGTACTGTCAGCAAAAGCTACACACCACAGAGGCTGTCAACAGCCAGGGTTGGCTTTTGATGAGTTTTTTGTGCACATCTCAAAGCGGCGGCCGGGTTTTTTCAGTTGGGACATCAACTTGGGTCATGCGAGTTGCCGCCCCTCCCCACTCAAGGACTTGCGGTTGAGGTTTCAGAGGGCTTATAGACCTTGGGGACCTACCACTCGCAGCCAGCCTCAATGCCACTGCTCAAGCCCCACAGCCCTAGATCCTGAGCCCTGCCCTCAACCCTAAACCGTAGACCCCTAAACCCAAAACCCAAAACCCTAAACCCTAAACCCTAAACCCTAAACCCTAAACCCTAAACCCTAAACCCTTCTTCGCCAAGGCCTCGTTTGGTGCACGCCTTCGCCTCGCTGGGTGCCCACACCCTTGGGCTCCGCCACACTCTTCCGCCCCCTGGCGCCTCGAAATTCGTTTAGGGTTTAGGGTTTAGGGCTTAGGGTCCGCAATCATTGAAAATCCTAAACCGCAGCCTTCATTCAGCCCCAAACCCTGAACCCTAAACCCCAAACTCGCCCTGAAAGAAGCCAGAGGGCGTATCGTAGGCCTAAACCCTAAACCCTAAACCCGAAACCCTAAACCCTAAACCCTAAACCCTAAACTTTTGGGAGCCGGCAGAGCCACCTCACCCTGTTTTCGTTTACCCGGTGTAGATTCTGGGCAGGTAACCTTTAACCTGTTTGGTTATATAGAATCCTACTGTTTCTAATAAGAGGTTAACCTTTCTTTGGGCTAGGGTATTCAGCCCCCAAGATTAGGGTTGGATTCTAGGATAGTAGTACCCCTAAACCCTAAACCCTGAACCGCAAGACTGAGCCAGACTCACGAACCAAGGAAGCACCTTGTTCCCTTTTCCCCCTTGGCTCTTAGTAGGGAATGGGGGAAGTAGGTACTCTATATAGTCCCTTGACGGGTTTAGGGTTTAGGGTTTAGGGTTTGGGTTCAGGGTTTAGGGTTCCAGGTTCAGGGTTCAGGGTGGAGGGTTTAGTGTTTAGGGGATTCTCTAAATTCGGGCCCCTTTTGGGGTTACTAATATACGGCGGCCCTAATTTTCTAGGGTACCCGAAAAGGGAACATGATTTTGAGAAGTAACCATGCATAGGGGGATATAGGATAACCCATTCTCGACTTCCCTACTAAGAACCAGTCAGTCTTTAAGAAGGTTATAGGCGTCTTGCGAGAAACCTACTGCTGAATCCCTAGCCTTTCGCCTCAACCCCTACCTGTCAACCCCAAATCCTTTGCGTCAGCCCGGAACCCTGAACCCTAAACCCCGCGGAACCCTAAGCCTTAAACCCTAAGCCTTAAACCCTACCTAAACCGTACCTAAACCCTAAGCCCTAACCATGAGGTTTGGTGGTTTTGGGAGAACTCGTCCTTGTGGTTGGAAGGGTTACGCAGGGGGGTGATGGGGTTCGGCGTGGCGATACTTGGGCTCAAAAGTTAAGTAGTTTCTGTATAGTCATCCAAAACCAGAAGCCCTAAACCCTGAACCCTAAACTATATTAATATGGTCACTTTGGGGACTAAGTGGCCACTATACTTGCGTATGTGGCTCCTTTTGGGGTTTAGTCGTTAGGCTGGCTTCAGGGTTTAGATCTAGCCAGATTTGCAAGAACAAAAGTTAGTGATTTTTCACGGTCTTTCGGTTTTTCCTAGTAGTAAAGTAGGTAGCCTTGAACCTGTTTGGGTAATATACTTCCCTTATAATCACAAAGGTTAACCTTAAGTTGTTACAGGTTACTGGACAACTAAGTTTTACGGTCTACAGGATGTTTACGGTTTTTCTGCCAGGTCAAACGACTATTGAGAAGAGGCTAGGGCCCATTCAAGTTTGGGAGTGCCGAGGCATCGGAAACCACTCCTGGCACGCGGCCGCTCGCTTCAGCAGGCTTCCCTAAAGGACGCCCAACCGTCCTGGGCCTGACATGCCCTATAAGGTCCTATAATGAGCCCTGTAAGCCCTGCAAGCCCCATAAGCCCTATGTGTAAGCCCAAAAAGCCCTACAAGCCCTATACACCCTTTCAGCCCTATAAGCCCTAAACCCTAATAGCCCTAAAATAGCTCTAAACCCTAAAAGTGCTCTTGAAGCTCTGAGGCCCCAGACTCCACCCTAAACCCTAGACACTAAACCCTAAACCCCTACTACTTGTCGTTTAAAGCGTCGTCAGTTGGGCTTCCTTGAACGCCTTTTCAAGCAAAGGTAACCGAGACCAAAGCTCTCCAAAACCACAAACCCCCTAAACCCCAAACCCTAAACCCTAAGCCCCAAACCCTAAACCCTCAACCCCAAACCCCCTTAAAATCGACAGCACCAGGTCCTGCCAGGCTTGCGCCGTCCCACCGGCTTGCGGCTGACCATGCAGTTCCTGGGCTTTAGAGTTTTAGGGTTTTCGGGTTTTATGGTTTGGGGGTTAGAGGTAGGGTTTAGGGTTTGAGGGTTTTAGGGTTTCAGGGTTTCAGGGTTTTAGGGTTTTAGGGTTTTTGGGGTTTTTTGGGGGTTTTAGGGTTTTAGGGTTTTGGGGTTTTAGGGTTTTAGGGTTTAAGGTTTTAGGGTTTAGGGTTCTAGGGTTTAAGGGTTTAGGGTTTCTTGTGGTGGAGATGTGAGGGTCTTGGGACTTGGGGTGCAAGGTTGGTGGGTTTGCGATTGAGGGTTTGAGGGGTTTAGGTGGTTTAGGCTTTTGGCTTTAGGGTTGAGGGTTTAGGGGCAATTACTCTCTATGTACCCTGCACTCATATCATGAAAGGACCCCAAGAGAGGAGGTCTGTGAGGGGGGCGAGCAGAGATGTGCACGAGGTTTTGGTCCACGGCTTATCTTGTGAACTCCAAACACCTTCTTTTCTTGCAGGTTGCCGAAGAACCATAGGGTTTAGGGCTCAAGGCTTAGGGTTTAGGATCATTGTCAGAACTAGAAGCTACCAAAGAAGTTTGGGTCCTCACTCAGGAGACATGTCAGTGGGTCCAAAACTGCAGCTACAAGTGGGTGACACGTACCCCAAACTTAGAAGCAGGCCCTAAGCAATCTCAGAGCCCCAAACCCGGAGACCTTGATTGAGCCTCTAAGCCTCAAACTCAGAACCCTGCACCCTAAACTAGGGGTCGGAATAGTTACCAGTAGTATTCCCTTAGAGTCCCTTTTATATTATTATAACTCCCCCCCAACAACCCTATTCTAGTTATTCAGGCCCCTATAATTAACACGCCTACAGCAAGGATCCTCTACGCAGCGGAAGTGCCCATCGGTCCCACACCCCGCGCGCCGGGGTACGGTTGGGATGCTCGCAGCTGGTCTGCCAAGTTATGCCGCAAGTTTAGGGTTTAGGGTTTAGGGTTTAGGGTTTGGGTTGAGGGTTTAGGGTTTAGGGTTTAGGGTTTAGGTTTAGTTTGTGCCAGGGAATTGGGCTTCTGAGTTAAGGGCAACCCTCATGTGAGGGGCGCCTCGGGTATCTTGGTAGCCCAGTGGTATCCTTTGTCCTTTTTGTGGGCTCAAGGTTCCCTTTGTACGGTAACCAACCCAAAAAAGGGAGTACCCTAATTGAGATATGGTTACTGGGCTGCCATGGAGCCCTCAACCCTACGTGTAAAGACCACCCTCAAAGAACCGAAAGCCATAGGCCCAGGCCCCGCCGCCCTAAACCCTAAATCCTAAACCCTAACCCCTATACCCTAAACCCTAAACCCTAAACCCTAAACCGAGGCCCACCAGCCAGCTTTCCGGGGTCCTTCTCGGCAGCTTCCGCCGAAACGGACCTGGATGTTGACAGCAACTGGGAACAGTCCTTAATGGGGAACCCTAAACCCTGGAAACTAAACCCTAAACCCTAAACCCTAAACCCTAAACCCTAAACCATAACCCCTACTAAGGACTATTCGTATAAGGGGGAACATCCCAAGGTCTTCAAGATTTAGGGCAGAGGGTTAAGGGTGTCGACCTGGAATTGAAACCCAAAATAACTCAAACCTAGACCCTAACGTCCCAAGACCAAGAACCCTAAGGCCTTAGTCTACAGGGTATATACGGGTATATACGGGTTCCCCAATCAAGGGCCCCATATGAAGGCACCAGGGACCATGTAACCACCACCCTAGGACTCTGGTGTTAGGGAGACTTGTAGCTCGATGTGTCGAAAGAGCTCAGAGCAGTTTTGACTTTCTTAAGCCATTGACAGGGCCATAGGCTTTTCGGGTTTAGGGTTCTTTAGGGTTTAGGGTTTAACACGTCAGGTCTTTGTTTATCAGAAGTAGCAAGCATCAAGTTCCCAAATTTCTCTGCGGAAGGGGCAGGAAAATAGTCGTGTGAGGCTGCAGATCTAAACCCTAAACCCTAAACCCTAAACCCGAAACCCTGCGGGCAGAAGTCCGTAGCTCTGTTCGGGGCATGCTGGGCTGGAAATCCTGGGGCTAAAGCTCGTCGGAACAAGCTCCGGTAGGGGTTTAGGGTTTAGGGTTTAGGGTTCAGTGTCTAGGGTTCAGGATTCAGGGGTTTCCGAAATTGGGGGTACCTTATTGTGGTCCTTACTACAAGGGGATCCTACCATTTGGGAATTCATATTGGGGGTCCCCGATTTTCGTAAACCCCCACATGATCTGATGGGCTAGGCCGTTGGGGTTTTGGGGTTTAGCACCTGATGCTCGAAACTCGGTACCGTGAGGGGCAAGCCTCTTTTTCGGGTTCAGGTTCCCTTATAAGCCCCTTTACTACCCTCCAAGGGCACCCTCTTTATTCCTAGGTTCCTCTTGGGTCTCAAGCATGTGACCGCAAAATAGAGCTAACCCCAAATACTTAACCTTAATTATCAGTTTTGGTGTTGGATTTTTGGGAAAACCCTAAATCCTACACCCCTACGTCTCCAAACCCTAAACCCTAAACCCTAAACCCTAAACCCTAAACCCAAAGGTAGGACGATGTCGAGGCAGCTTGTGCCACGATGTGGACACAAAGACCTTACTCACTCAGGCCCTCGGGTGGCTCTTAGACTAGTGAGCGCTATCTTGTAGGGTTGAGGGTTGGTTTAGGCTTAGCCCTAAGCCCTAAATCCTAAACCCGGGGGGCGAGGGTCGTAGGAGCTGCTTTTCTAGGGGTTTGGGGTTTGAGGTTGCTTGGAGTCCCAGTACGTACTTAACCCTAGCCCTGCAAGCACCAGACCCTAAACCTTACACGCTAAACCCTAACCTAAACCCTAAACCCTAAACCCTAAACCTTTCAACCCTAAAGCCTAAACCCTACAGCTTCTCTTGTGGGTTTGGAGCCCTGACAAGCATGATCACGTTTGTGCGTTTACTGGGAACTTTTTCGGGTTTAGGGTTCAGGGTTTAGGGTTTAAGGCTGAGGGTTTAAGGCTTAGGGTTTAGGGTTTAGGGTTTAGGGTTTAGGCTGATTCGGATTTAGGGTTTAGGGTGGTTCTACACGTCCAACCATCCCATGACGGGGAGCCTACAGCAGCGCTCTTTGAAACCTCGGGAGGTGGGCCCCTGGAACCAAAGCCAGGCCCGGGTAGCATGTGCTGGGTGCCCATCTTGGGGGTAGGGGCTTGGGGTTTAGGGTTTAGGGGATCTGGGTTCAGGGTTCTGGGTTTAGGGTTTTGGGATTTCCAAGTGAGAGGCTTAGGGCTTAGATCATTGAAAGTGTAGGGTTTGGGGTTTCTGTAGTAGGGTTTACGGCAGGGTTTAGGGTTGAGGGCTCAGGGCATCTTAGGGCTTAGGGTTTAGGGTCTAGGGTTCAGGTTTTGGGTTCAGGATTCCGAGGTAGTTCTCAAAATTAGGGTCTTCGGGAATCCTTGTTTTGAGGGTGCCGTACTATGTATAGGACCCAAAACAGGGCCCTAATTTGGAGAAATACCCCGATATCCTAAACCCTAAACCCTAAACCCTAAATCTCTACGCCCAAAACCCTATGCTTCCACGGTCGGCAATGTTTGCGGTGGGGTTTAATCATTAGAAAGGGATGATTGTTCAGGCTTTTGATTATCAAGGGTTAAAGGGTTCAAGATAGAGCCCCTAAAGATCTTTGGTTTAGGCCTGTACCGTGCGTTACCCTCCCCCAAAAAATGACGAACCCTAAGCCCTAAACCCTAAACCCTAAAACCGTAAAACCCTAAACGAAGCAGAAAGCCAAGCCGGATCCTGCAGAAGGACGGGGAATGCACTGACTGGCTGCTGCGCGCCGGCAGCCCCAAAGACAGCGACTGGAAGAGCTTTGTCCTTTAATTGCAGGGTTTAGGGTTTAGGGTTTAGGGTTTAGGGTTTAGGGTTTAGGGTTTAGGGTTTAGGGTTTAGGGTTCAGGGTTCAGGGTTCAGGGTTTAGGGTTTTGGGTTTAGGGTGTAAGGTTGTCGGGTTTTAGGGTTCAGGGTCTATGCTTTTCAGGGGTTCCGAAACCCAAAAACGCCATGTTCATTGTCAACCATACAATGCGGGAGGGGTCAAATTTGCCAATCGCTCTAAAAGCTTGTACGCCCCAATGTAGAGGGTCCCCCAAACAAATTTTGGACGTTTCGGGCTCTGAGCGCATGGGTTGACCAGAGAGCCCAGCGGAAACGAAGGGGTTCAGGGTTTAGAGCTTAGGGGGTGTACCGGTGTTTTCTGGTTTCCCTGTAGGATGACAGTAGGATCCTTTGCAAAGCGAATCACGCAAAAGGCACCCTCCCTAAGATCCTACATGAACCCATTTCTGCAGGAGTTGCAAGCTTTGTGATGAGCTTTCGTTGATGGGCGGACTCAGCAATGCAAGCCCTAAACCCTAAGCCCTAAACCCGAAGCCCGTCGTACCAAATCCGTACTTTTGTTGTTTTTCTAGGAGGTCCAGGGCCTTTGTTTAGGGTTTAGGGTTTAGGGTTTAGGGTTTAGGGTTTAGGGTTTAGGGTTTAGGGTTTAGGGTTTAGGGTTTAGGGTTTAGGGTTTAGGGTCTCTTGGGCTCGTAAAGGGGTTGAGGGGTCTAGAAGGGGTCTCGGTCTCTCCTCGGCAGAAGGTTGAGGGTTGCACTTCTGCGTCCTTTGTCTGAGCCTTGGTTTAGGGTTTAGGGTTTAGGGTTTAGGGTTTAGGGTAGAGGGTTTAGGGTTTAGGGTTTGTAAGTTTCAGGCAGTGCATTGGCGGCTCCATGTGGCCCCATGTCTGTTGTGGAACGTGCCAGCACCTCGGTCACCGAAAGTACCATGGTTTCGGGTTTAGGGTTTAGGGTTTCGGGTTTAGGGTTTAGGGTTTGGGGTTTGGGGTTTAGGGTTTAGGATCTTGGGTCTCGGGTCTTGGGTTTAGGTTTTGTTTTGGATGCCCCAACCCCAAGAACATTATGGACCTATGGCCTGCATATGGTCAGTTCTCTAATTCATGGTCCCTCTTTTTGTAAGTACGAGCGGCCGCCTTATAGTAAGGACCGCCCAAAATTGGACCACATTTTCGAGAAGTGACCATATGACGCCTATGGGATCCTCATGGAAGTTTGGGGTGACCAAACAATCCTCATTATGCTTGGCTTCTCGGATCCCAAAACCCTAAACCCTGAACCCTAAACCCTAAACCTTAAACCCGGGGTCTATTGTGAGTGCAGGTTTTCGCGGGTTGCTTCTTCGCGGCTGTCCTGACTCACTTGTAAACCCTTGAGAGACATGATAAAGGCAACCAGAGTAAGGCATTTTTATAGCCGTATTCAGAGTCAGTCGCCATGACGCAAAATAGGGGGGGCCCTAAACACATGTTTTTTTTTTTTGGGTGATTTGGAGGTCTAGGTATTGCTAGCTTCTAGCAGCAACCCCTGACGCAGAATTCGGCAGCCAAGGTTCAGAAGCCTTTGGGTTCTGGGTTTCAGGGTTCAGGGTTTCAGGGGTTATGAGGATTCAGGGAAGCAGGCGTTTCCCGCTTTCAAAATAAAAACCCTAAGCCCTAAAGCCTAAACCCTAAACCCTAAACCCTAAACCTTAAACCCTAAACCTAAACCCTAAACCCTAAACCTAATCCCGTTTCAGAAATATCTAGAGAGAGCCGTTAACTCGAAGTTCCCTGCTCTGGAGTGTTCTAACCCTTGAGTCGTTTTGTTCACCCTAACCCCTAAACCCTAACCCTAAACCCTAAACCCCAAACCCTAAACCCTAAACCCTAAACCCTAGACCCTAAACCCTAAACCCTAAACTACCGACTGACACTGAGGCGCGTCTTGCATGCGCATGAAGAGAGGGTGGGGGAGATGATTTCTCAGCGGGATGCGCCCGGCCTGCAGGTTTAGGGTTTAGGGTTTAGGGTTTAGGGTTTAGGGTTTTTCGGGGCCTTCGACTCCAAAAGGTTGTAGAGCTCAGGGAGTGTGGGGGTTTGGGGAGTTGCGAGAGTTTGGATTTTGGAGTTTAGGGTTTACGGTTTAGGGTTTAGGGTGTAGGGTTCGGGGTGTAACGTGTGGAAGGCTCAGGACGTGGGAGTCACTACTTCCGGGATGCTTCGCAAGCTGCTTCAGCTGGACTCTTTTAAGGGACCTTAGGGGTTATTTAGGGGTTTAAGGGTTTAGGGCTTAGGGGTTTTGGGTTTAAGGTTTTGTCTGGGGGCTACATAGGTATACAGGGACTATATGAGGTATATACTGGCGGAAGAAGAGCTTGACCCTAAACCCATGATCCAGGGTCCCTTCTAGGGGTCCCTGACCCCTTCAGAAGCCCTAACGCAACCGAGCTCGCCTACAGTTTGGCCTTGGGTGCTCGGAATGAGGGTTTCCGGTTGGGAGTTCAGGGTTTGGAGTTTAGGGTTTAGGGTTTAGGTTTTAGGGTTTAGGGTTTGGAGTTTAGGGTTTCGGGTTTTCGGTTTGGGGGGTTTAGGGTTTAGATCAAAGAATCTGAGCACAAAGAACAGGCGCCGATGGAGACCGAAGTTTGAGTTTCTAATTCCCAAATATCCGGGATTTGTTAACGGCTTCCTTTATTGGGCTCAAGAGGGTTTAGGGTTAGAGGGTTTAGGGTTAGTGTTTTGGGTTTAGGGTTTAGGCTTTAGGGTTTAGGCTTCAGGGTTTAGGCTTTAGGGTTTAGGGTTTACGGTTTAGGGTTTTGGGTTTAGGGCTCAACAAGGGAGTTTAGGAATATTGGGGGCTCAAAGGGCCAACCTAGCCTCCAAGTAGAATAGCCCTCACGGCCCTAAACCCTAAACCCTAAACCCTAAACTTTAAACCCTAAACCCTAAACCCTAAACCCTAAACCCTAAACCCTAAACCCTAAACCCTAAACCCCAAACCCCAAACCCCAAACCCTAAACCCTAAACCCTAAACCCTAAACCCTAAACCCTAAACCCGAACTTCCTCGCAGTTTTTCGGTCTTAGGGGTCCAGAAACTTGACTTTCAAACGACCGTTGCTTTTCCCTTCTTCTTCCTTGCCTTGCTTGAAGGCTCATGGGTAGTGGTGAGGTATCAATATGTCCCTATCAACAACCCCTTTGCCCTAAACCCTAAACCCTAAACCCTAAACCCTAAACCCTAAACCCTAAACCCCCTAGGCGCTCGCTGCCGCCTTGGCGCAGGGGCCTCGCTGGGTCTCATCGCCGCTCCTTGGGTCCGGAAGACGGATGCCGCCGTTCGGCTGAGAGCCCGATTGGAAGCCCGAGGGTTTAGGGTTTAGGGTTTAGGGTTTAGGGTTAAACGGTTTAGGGTTTGCGGTTTAGGGTTTAGGGTTTAAGGTTTAGGGCGTTTAGGGTTTGGGGTTTGGGGTTTAGGGTTTAGGGTTTAGGGTTTAGGGTTTAGGGTTTAGGGTTTAGGGTTTAGGGTTTAGGGCCAGGCCCCTTAGTTGAGGGCTTAGGGTTTTGGGGGTTAGGAATTTAGGGTTTCCGGAATGCAGGCTTAGTTGAAGGTTCAGGGTTTTGGGGTTTGGGGAGTTTAGAGTTTCCGGAATGAAGGCTCAATTGATTGAGGGTTTGGAGTTTTGGGGTTTTGGGTTTCCTTACAGCAAATGTTGAATGGGTTTAGTTCGGGTTTCCTCCAAAGATTCACGGAGTTTTCCGGCACTATGGGGTTGTAGGAGGACTTTAGGGGATTGGGATGGGGAAGGGCGGGGGGGGGGGGGGGGGGGGGGGGGTGGGGGGGGGGGGGGGGGGGATGGGGCAGGGTGCAAAGCCTGAAGGCCCTCAATGCCCTGGGCTTAGCTGTTTTCTACTAGTAGCGTTTTGAACCTCGCGTGTTGTTGATGATTTCGAAGCGTGAGGTTTGGTCCGGTGATACCCTTTAGTCTTCTTGGTTCAAGGTTCCCTTACAGGGTAACCAACCAAGAAGAGGGTGCCTAAACCCTAAACCCTAAACCCTAAACCCTAAACCCTAAACCCTAAACCCTAAACCCTAAACCCTAAACCCTAAACCCTCCCCTTATTACTATTGTCACATAGTTACTGGGCTACCAAGTTTGGGGTATATGTGAGTGTATCGAGGCAAGGTTCGGGTTGAGGGTGTACTGCATTTTTGATTTTTTTTACAAATAATTTGGGCTTTTGCAGGTTGCTGGTTTTGGGGCGTGGGGCTGGCTTAAGGTTCTTATGGTAGGGTTTAGGGTTTGGGGTTTAGGGTTCCGGGTCATGTGCCGTGCCTGCATTCTGCTGATGAAGTTGTGCTGAGTCTTGATTAGTCTCTGTCTTTGGATGGGAGCGTAGATTGCCGAACGAACCCAGAATTTTCCGCCCTAAACCCTGAACCCCAAACCCTAAACCCTACACCCTAAACCCCAAACCCCAAACCTCCTTCTCAGGCTCCTGGCGCTGGGCACGGGCGGGATGGGCGGCAAGAGCGCCAGAGAGACCTGCCAGGGCAGTTGGGAGTGTGGCCTACATCCTTGAAGCCCCAAATTAGGGTTTAGGGTTGAGGGGGGGGGGCCCTAAACCCTAAACCCTAAACCCTAAACCCTAAACCCTAAACCCTAAACCCTAAATCCCCACCCGGCCTGCTTAGGCCCCACCCTTTTCTAGAGTGCCTGGACCCGGCAGCCAGACACACCTTCACTGGCTGGACAATGGGTGCACCCACGGTGCCAGCCCCTGGGGCTGTGCTGATGCGAGCAACCTGCCAGCAGGAGAAAACGAAGAAAAAGGATTCCCCTAAACCCTAAACCCTAAACCCTAAACCCTAAACCCTAAACCCTAAACCCGCTTCAAGGAGGAAGAAAAGGACGGCAAGAAGCTGCAGCAGGCCGTGCTCGACAACAACCCTAGAATTGCCAGGGCAACAGCGCTGTAGGTTGGCACCGTCGGCATTCGCGCCCCGCGAGCTCTGAAGCTGTCGCACCTTAAGATCTCCAGACCTACTATAGGGGTCGGAGTAATTACTCATAGTATTTCCTTACGGTCCCTTTGTATTTATACAAAAACATCCCCCGAAACCCTCTTCTAATTATTAAGGCTCTTATAACCTATCATGCTTTTGGGGGTTTGTTAACGGTAGGAATGTTTGGGCGTCCGCCCGCCGAGTTCAGTGTTTAGTGCTTAGGCCTGAGAAAATGAGCTGCCGTCATCTGGGTTGTCCAGAACCTAAGAACCTAAATCTGAAACCATGAACTTTGGTAAAAGCACTTTACCTCGGTGTCCCTTATGTTCACCACAATGAGGGATCCCTAAACCCCAAAGCCCCTCTCAGGAAATCATCGCCTTTGCGCTACGAGCTGGCTACCGGCATCTGGATTCGGCCATGACGCACCTAGCCAGCCGTGTTTAGATGGCAATAGAAGAGTTCTCTATCTCTTTCTGTATCTTAGACATATCTATGTGTGTGTGTGTGCATGTGTGACAATTTAATTTGACGAGAATGAGGGAGAGGGAGATAGGGAGAGATAAGGAGAGAAATGGGGCAGAGATGGGGGAGAGATGCTGGAGAGAGGGAGAAAGTGAGAGAGTGAGGGAGATGTAGGGTTTTAGTGGAAGTTATTTATGGCTGAGGGTTTTCTGTTTTCTTGTTTGGCGCCTTGCGTTTGGTAGCTTGTTGAGACCATGGAGGAGATCTGAGGTCTAAACCCCGTATGACAACCGTATGATGGAGTGCATACATTAAATACATTGCATTCCATTCCACCAGTACGCAAAAAGACCGCAAGTGCTGGAGCTCCTGAAGTCTACATGCTTGATGCAGAGGTAGTCAGGGTGAAGGTGAGGCTTTAGGGTTTCGAAAGTCAAGGTACCCGAGTTACCCGGATGAGTTGCAGATGGGTTTGACCGACAGCGGCGTGGCGAGAGAAGATGTCTTCATCAGCACCAAGGCAGATTGGTTGTTGGCTTATTTGAATCCATACTATAAGGCACCGTTTTCCAAGTCCCCTACTGAGAGCCGGTAGGCAAGCTTCCCTAGGGCCTCCTGCAATAAGGCACCCTTTTTATACCCGGTTATGCGCAGTCCCCTTGGGTGCCAGAATTGGGGTTTAGGTGAGCGAGTGAATGTGTTACTGCGAGGCTTTACTCAGTTAGGGTGGCGCATTGCAAGATTGAGGGTTGAGGAATCTGTGGGGTAGACTTAGTATGTATCTCTGAGGGACTATAGACATTTGCCTCAGATAGCCTAAGCCCTCGAAAATCCCCACACACCTATACAAGCCCTAAACTCCCCTAGACCTACCCTAAACCCTAGACTGTAAACCCTAAACCCTCAACCCTCAACCCTAAACCCTAAACCCTAAACCTCACACCCTAAACACTAAAACCTGAACCCGGCTTTGCGAAATCCACCGCGCGCGCGTCTTGCTTCGGCCAGGTGCCGCCGGATGCCATGGGCTTCGAGGCCGACATGGGTTTAGGGTTGAGGGTTTAGGGTTAAGGGTTGAGGGTCTGAGGGTCTGAGGGTTGGTTTAGGTTTTTAGGGTCTGGAGGGTTTTAGGGGTTTAGGGCTTTGGGGTTTTTGGGTTTTCGGCCTCAGGGTTTTAGGGTTTAGGGTTTTTAGGGTTGGTTTAGTGTTTATGGTCTAGGGATGACGGTTTAGGGTCTTAGGGTGTAGGGTGTTAGGGTTTTGGGGTTTGAGGGTTCTGGGATCCAGGGTTTGGGGTTTAGGGTTTAGGATTTAGGGTGAGGTTGGAGGATCGAGGGTCTACAAGGTTTGAGAGTTTCGGGATCCACGGTTCAAGCGGAGAGGTCTAGGGCTAGGGTTCACCCTAAACCCTGAACCCTAAACCCTAAACTCTGAACCCTAAACCCTGAACCCTCGACCCTAAGCCCTAAGCCCTAAGCCCTAAGCCCTAAGCCCTAAACCCTAAACCCTAAACCCTAAACCCTAAACCCGACACCGCAACCACAAGGCCTCCCACGCCGCTCTCCAGCGGCTCGCTGCCGAAATGCCGGGAGGTGCGCCGGCAAATGATCTCTTTAGGGTTTAGGGTTCAGGGTTTGAGGGTTGAGGGTTTGAGGGTTTGAGGGTTTGAGGGTTTGAGGGTTTGAGGGTTTGAGGGTTTAAGGGTTTAAGGCTTTAAGGGTTTAAGGCTTAGGGTTTTTGAGGACTTTGGGCTCTTCAGGGCTTATCAGGTCTTCGGGGATTTTGGGGTTTGAGGTCTAGCGTCAGGGCTTATGTACAATTAAGAGTTTAGAGTATGAGGGGTCCGAGTTTAGAGTTTGGGGGTGGGGGGCGGGGGGTTGAGCATCAGGATTTAGGTTCATATGTTCGCAAAGGCTGCTGGGCAGAATCTCCTGGATTCTTGGGTTCGTTTAGGGTTTAGGGTGTAGGGCTTAGGGCTACAAAACCTGACTTGTTGGGTTTGCGATTTAGAGAGTTGTTCGAGTCTTGTGTGCGTGTGTGTGGGGCGGGATTAGGGCAGGGCTTTTGGATCAGACCCTAGAGCCTAGACCTAAACCCTACCAGGACGGGCTTTTATGCCCTAAAACCCCTAAAAAAGGCTAAAAAAGGCCCTTTTATAGGGTTGATTATGGGGATGCTGGGGCCTAGTAGCCCATCCTGGTAGCCCCCGCACCCTAACTTGCGCATCTGGAAAGCACGAACAGCAGCTCCAAATGCGCACGCTGACTCGGCAGGTCGCTCGCTGTGACGTTGAAGACCCTGAAGTCGCACATCTCTTCGCCCTAAACCCTAAACCCTAAACCGTAAACCCTAAACCCTAAACCCTAAACCCTAAACCCTAAACCCTAAACCCTAAACCGGGGGCTCCTATTTTCATGCAGAGTCCCAGATTTAGGCCACCCAGCTAGGAACCCGAACTTGGAGAGCTGCCCACTGGAAGTCAGGAAAGCCTAAGCCAATTTACGCCTAAAACTCTGAACCCTTAATCCTAAACCCTAAACCCTAAACCCTAAACCCGATATCTTAAGACCTAAGCCTTAGACTCTAGACCAGGGCCCTGTCGTGTTCAGCCCCCCAGGCTATGCCGACCTCTGCATGGTGCATTGGCCCAACACGGCTGACCAGGTGCATTGTGCCTCCTGAAAACCCTAAACCCTATGCCCTTAACCCTAAACCCTAAACCCCACGCCCTTCCGGAAGGGATCGAATCTCCACAGGGCTTGAGGGTTCAGGCGCGAAGCATATGTTTTGAAAAACAAAATGAGGGGGGGGGGGGGCAGGCTCTTAAGGAAACAGTAGCAAGTTCAGGCCTCGACCCTATCGACGAAGTCTACATGGACCCCAAACCCCAAGCCCCATAACCCATAAACCCCAAACCCCAAACCCTAAAGTCTGGGAGGACATGGCCATCTGTAAGGGTGCCGAGTTATGGGTGGGGTGTAGTTGTTGGGGACTTTTGAGATTTAGGAGCCTCCGGCTCGCCGCCGACCCAAGAGGCCCGAAACCTCTCAACCCACAAACCCTAAGCTAAGCTGCAAGCCCCAAACCCCGAACGCGAGACACGAGTTGAGTCGGTCAGGACAGTCTGGAGGGGCGGGCTGGTGTGGGGGAAAAAAGGGGGGGAGGGTGGGGGGTCTCTAATCCCTAAAGCCTGGGTTGGGGTGCGCGTCGTCACCCTTCAAGCACTTTGCATCAGGCGCCGGCCTCCGCGAAGGCCCCGGGGCGTGACGGAAGGTCTGAAGATACCGTAGAATTTTAGGGTTCAGTGTGTAGGGTTTAGGGTTTAAGGCTTTAGGGTTCAGGTTTGGGGCTTAGGTTCAGGTTTCAGGATTCAGGGTTTAGGGTTCAGCCTTTCGGCATCCGGGGACTAGAGTAACGCAGAAGGTGTACGGTCGAGGTCGCCTGCTCGTCACCCAGCCCCTCCGCCAGCTGCTCCAGTCAACGTTCGTTTTGGGGTTTAGGGTTTAGGGTTTAGGGTTTAGGGTTTAGGGTTTAGGGTTTAGGGCTAGGGTATTTCGGCTATTTCGGGTGTTTGTGTATTTAGGGTATTTCGGGCATTTCGGGTTTAGGGTTTAGGGGTTAAGGCTGCCCAGCACCCTGGTGACCTTGTCAAAAAAAGTGCCCTTCCTTCTGAGGTTTGTTATGCAGGAGGTTTTGGGACCCTCAAACCCTAAACGCGTTTTGGGGTCTATGTGGGGTTCCGGGTTGCAGGGCTCGGTGTAAGGCGCAGGGGATCCATACCCCACCAGCTACACCCCCGGTCCCAAAAAACCCTTGGTTTTGTTCCGGTTTGGGGCACGAGGATGGCCCGCAGCCAAACTAGGGCACAAAATAAGTGTTATCAAGGAAGCTGCCTGGGCCCTTTTTCAGGTAACCAGGTAGGGCCTACTAGTGTTTCTGGCCCTTAAGGAGAAGGTTCAGGAGAATGTTCAGGGTTTCGGGCGTTGTTTTGTATGAGTGAGGCTTTACGACTTAGGTTTCACTCACCGGCTCCCTCGAAACCTCGAAACCCTAGCGAAGCCCTAAAACACATCCGTGAGCTCTCCTGTAGGCCGTTCAACCCTAAATCCTCAATGCCTATCAAGCCCTAAACCTACGCAAGCCCAAGAAACAGATATGATAAGCCTTATAAACCCTAAATCCTCAGCCCTCCGTCCCTAAAGCACAGTAAGCGTAAGCCACCCAAAACCCTGCACCCTAAGCCCCAAAAACGCCAAATGCCTTTGAGAGACAGAGAGAGAGAGAGAGAGAGAGAGAGAGAGAGAGAGAGAGAGAGAGAGAGAGCGAGAGAGAGAGAGAGAGACAGCGCGAGAAGAGGATCCGGCACTATGGTCTGCGCTGGAGAGGGTCGGTACCTGGAAGGCATCGTTTTGGGTTTAGGGTTAGGGTTTAGGATTCAGGGTTTAGGGAGTGGTTGGACGCCAGAGTTTAGGGCATAATACGGGGGAAGGGCTTCAGGGTTTAGGAGTTCAGGAACACAGGATGTAGGGCAGCAGTCTCGGCATGTAGTAGTTTTTTAGAGTTTAGGCGTTTACGAGTTTGGGGGTTTCGGAATTCCGGGTTTGGGTTGTAGGGGCTGAGTAGTTCAGGGGTTTGGGAATTTGGGGGGCTTTAGATTTAGAATTTGGGTTTAGGTTTTAGGAGTTTAAGAGTTAGGTTTTTGGTAGGGGTTCATAGGGTTGAGGAGTTCAGGGGTCGAGGAGTGTACACCTCACACGATGAGGCGTACACAACAAGGATAGGGCTACGCCTCGAAGGTACTACGTCCTCCCATCCCTATTCCCCACACCTTGTTCCCCTAGTAGCTGAATGGGTACACTTTACACTTTTTGTAATCCTATAATCTACTTTTTGGGGGCTTCTGAACTCAGCAACCAAGTTACGTCTACCTGGACCCCTCTGTGGCCCAGCCGTAGAGGTACGAAGCGACCACCCGAAGCCCGACACCCGACCTTGGGGACAAAATGAACCCTAAAAGGGTTTATGGTTCATATACCTTAGTAGGAATTATAGTAGTATAGGGTATAGGACCCCAATTTTAGGGTTCATTTGGTCCACAAGGGAAACTCTTTTTTAGAACCTCCCTGTCAACTTATTGTTGTCGGTTTGTTTTGCGCACCTCAGTACGCTCGCCCTAAAACATAAACCCTAAACCCTAGACCCTAAACCCTAAACCCTTTCAATGCATAGGCGCTCAAGCGCAATGTGAGCCCTAAATTCTAGTCTCGAAGCTCCAACTCCAAAGCGCTCAATAAACCCAGAAACTCCAAATCCTAAGCGCTAAGCACAATGCCAGGCGCTTGAAGCAGCATATGATGCGGGAATCTGCAAGGCACGGCGTTCTTTGTTCACCAAAATCGGGTTCGAGGCTCGTAGTTCAGGCTTTTAAACGTTGAGTTTCGTTCGGGTGTTAAGGTGTTTTGTTGGTTCTTTCATTGTTGTCACGTGCGTAGGGGGGTCGGGCAATGGCGGGTTGTAGGACTTAGAATCTGGCCTTCTTGTGCGCCGTGGTAGTTAAGTCACCGTGTGCTTTAATGTTGGGCGCCCAAGAATGCCACAAACCCTTGTCATGTAGGTCCCCCCCCCTACATCCGCTTCCCCCCCCCCCCCCAAAAAAAAAAAAAAGAAGCTAAAACCCTGACCCCTGAACTTACCCTCACCACCCCCCCCCCCCAAAAAAAAAAAAAAAGCGCTAAAACCCTGAACCCAAAACTTACCCGAAACCCTCAAGCCGAAAGTCGAACTCAAGCCGAAAGTCGGACTGCAGCCGAAAGGCCCTGGGTGTCAGCAACTACCTGGTGCAACACTTGCAGGACCCAGACTGGCGTTTTTGGGGGGTTTAGGGGGTTCAGGAAAGAGGGTTTGGAGTTAAAGGTTTAGGGTTTGGGGATGTTTGGGGTGTGAGGGTTTCCATGGCTTTTGGGGAGTAAGCAAGTACCCTGATGATTTTCCTATTACAGGATCCATCATGAACGTATGTTTAACAAGCGTACCTTGTTCTCCCTTGGCCAATTGGGGACCCGGAAAGGCGTCGGGTTCAGGGGCCCGTTGACCCCTGAAAAAGCAAGGGGTGCAGGGGCCCCCTTTGTGAGCCTTCGGAAGGCAAAGACTTCGTGTTTGGGGTTTAGGGTTTAGGGTTTAGGGTTTAGGGTTTAGGGTTTACGATTGGCTTGGGTCGGCGATTCGCAAGGCCCCTTTGCGTCACTATGTATTTGTAATTACCACCCCACTCTCCCAGAATCCCTTTTCATTTTTGAACAACTTTTCGTTTTCCTGAACTCGGCACTGTCTACATGTGTGCTTCCAGAAACTTCCTCCTTCACAAAGACCTGTTTTTGACCAGAGCCAAGGCGGCAGGGGTTTTTAGTAGGGTCACTCAGAATGCGATTTGAGGGGATATCAGATGGGGGGCTGGGGGGTAGCCGCAGGGGGTTTCAGGGAGCGGGAGGTCTCAGAATGGCAGGGAAGCGATTTTCAGGTGCCCTGCCAGAGAGTCAGGGGGGCCCTCAGGCGTGTCCTACCGGTCGCAGGGAGGGTCCGAGGGGGGTTTAGTTGATTTGAAAAGGAAATTGAAACAGAACACCAATTGAAGTGTTAAAATCACGATAAAAAGGTGAAGTGTTTTGTTTTGCAGTTTTCAGTGGGTCCCAGAGGCATCCCAGGAAATGGGTAAACACTCAACAAGTTTTTTTGACAAATTTCCTGGTCCTCGGGACGCTGCAGCGAGGGGCAGCGAACCCTCTGGCCAGGGTCCCTGGAAGACCCTTTGAGGGCTCAACAAACCCTTCAAACCGTAATGAAACGTTCATAGGCCGAAGCAGGTTTAGGGTTGTGGGGTTTTGGGTTGAGGGTTTAGGGTTTGGGGTTTTAGCACTTAGCGTTTGAACGTTTGAAGGCTCATGGACACGTGGTCGAAGGCTATGGAACTCTGCATTCACAGGAGCTTCTGGGCTATGCGCGCATACCCCCTGCAGTGAACCAAATCGAGCAGCCTGGCTTTTCTGCAGCATGGGCACCCTAAACCCTAAACCCTAAACCCTAAACCCTAAACCCCAAACCCCAAACCCCAAACCCTAAACCCTAAACCCTAAACGTTAGGGTTTTAGGGGTTTTGGGTTGTAGGGGGGTTTAAGGCTCAGAGGTGCCAGCGATTGCCCCTCGCGGTTCAGGGTTCACATAGGGTTCTACAAGGGGTTCGGCGTTTAGGGTTTAGGGTTTAGGGTTTAGGGCTTAGGGCTTAGGGCTTAGGGTTGAGGGCTTAAGGTTTAGGACCCTGACCCTTAAATCCTAAATTGGCAGTATGCATTTGAGGGTTTCGGGTGGGCTCAGTCAACTCATGGCCCTGTCTGCCTACAGCTTAGAAGTAACTCGATCGACAGAACCCTAAATCTATTTGTTTGTAGGGATTAGGGTTTTTAGGTACGGAATTTGGGGCTTGGGGTTTAGAAGAAGGCGTGTAGTAAACTCAGTAGCTGACTAGAGAACCTTTCACCTTTTGGGGCATATTCAATCCTACCATAATTGAAACGTTAACATTTTTTTGGGCCAGGGTGCTCAGCAACTCGGCAAGCATCCACCCCTAAACCCTAAACCCTAAACCTTAAATCCTAAACCCTAAACCCTAAACAGAGGTAAACAGAGTAGGGTTTGGGCTGCCTGTGACAGACCTGGGAACCTCATTGCCGAGGTATTCCCCCACGGCGCCTTTGATGGATGCGGGGGCCTCTGGACATGGGACCCAGAGTAGGCCGTCTGCTCTTCTTCTTCTGGGGTTGGGCTTAAGGCTTGGGGTTTGGGGTTTAGGGTTTAGGGCTGGGATCCAGACTGGGCCCTTAATCCCTTTGGGGGGTTTAGGTTGCCTTAAACCAAAAAGGGCACCCTTCTTCTTCCTCGCTTACCCTTGGGTCTAGGTCCATAGATCTTGGAGGTCAGACCCCGGAGGCCCCCACAACAGGCAAACAAGGGTACTGAAGGGTTGGTAAGAACTTGCTGGTTTAGTGATCGGGGGTTTCGGGCTTCTTGGATGCTAAAGTTTTGGGGGTTAGGAGTTCAAGTAGTCTAAGGAATATAGCAAGTTTCTACAGCCCATACTTGAAAGGTATAATAAGAGGGACCCTTGATCTTACTAACCCTCTAACCCTGGAAAATACCTTATATAGTCCGTACATGCTCAAGCAGCCCGAACACCCCGGTGTGATCCTTAGGGCTCCCTTTCTCAGAGCTCCTACACCCTAAACCCTAAACCCTAGACCCTACCAACTCGCTCCTTGTAAGAGTAGATGGGTTTAGGGTTTTAGGGTTTGAGGTGTTAGGGTTTAGGGTTTAGGGTTTAGGGTTTAGGGTTCAGGGTTCAGGGTTAGTAAGTTAGTCCACTGTGTCAGACTGGCCCCAGGTCGTTCACTTCTGCCGCTCCCAGGGCATCGTCCTTGAAGCCTTTGCGTGGAATCGAATGGAAGTCTTCATGCAGCAGGAACCCGGAACCCCAGCGCGCTTAAGGTTTTGGGGTTCAGGCTTTTAGGCTTTCGGCTTGGGGCTTTGGGCTTTAGACTGTAGGCTTTAGGCTCTAGGCTCTAGGCTTTGGGGGTTGAGAGTTTCAGTGATTCAGGCTTTAGGGTGTCTTGGGGCTGATCTAGAACTAGGATCATCTTGAAGAACCCCGATTATAGGGTTCAGTGCCGAATGTCCGGCTTTCTCCTTCCACAAGTATCCGTTAGGAGGCCCCCTACTCCGGAATCACTCTGTCATTGACATGGAGATCATCAGCCTTCCACCCACCCACCCTAGAATCCCAAATCCTAAACTCTAAACCCTACACCCCCAAAAGCCCCCAAATCCTGAACCCCGGAGAAACCCGAAGCCGAACCGCTTGGTATGCCGTCGTACAAGGAGTACTACGGCGCTTCGGCCTGGCCCCAGCTCTTGGATGCAGCATCGCGAGCCATGTCCATGCCTCCGGACGAGACCCTAAACCCTAAACCCTAAACCCTAAACCCTAAACCCTAAACCCTAAACCCTAAACCCTAAAGAGGCTATGGGCTGCCCATTGTCGCCGCGTCGAGAAGAATGAGCCACCCTGGCACGTCCGCTTGCCTGAACCTTCTGCATGCCAAGGGAGCGGATGCCCGCGGCGCTGGGAGTCCCTCTTGATGACTCCCCGCTGGAAGAACGGTTCGCTCCGCTGCCTGGGTCCCGGGTTTCATGCCCTAAACCCTAAACCCTAAACCCTAAACCCTAAACCCTAAACCCTAAACCCTAAACCCTAAACCCCTCCTACTGGTTTTGGTCACTGGCCTTGTTCTCCAGGGTCACTGGCGTGAACTTTGGCGGCCCCTCATCCCAGCGCCTCACGCCACCCACTCACAAGGTAAGGTCATAGCTACAGAAACCCCCGAACTTCTAAACCCCCAAAACGGCCTATGAAGCTTCAAAGACCCCTAAACCCTAAACCCTAAACCCTAAACCCTCAACCCTAAACCCTAGCCCTAAACCCTAAACCCTGAACCCTAAACCCTAAACCCTAAACCCTGCAAACTCTAAGGGCACCAGAAGCACAGCAACCTAGCGCAGCAAGATCCTCCCACCCGACCCCTGGAGGAGCTCATCGAGCTGGCACAGGCGCTGTCACCTGAGGATTCCATGCGGCGTGACTTCCTCATGCAGGCCGGGCTCAGGAGTCTAGGGGTGGAGGAGTTTAGGGCTTTAGGGTTTAGGGGTTTAGGGTTTAGGGGTTTAGGGTTTAGGGCAGGGTTTAGGGTTTAGGGTTTAGGATTTAGGGTTCAGGGTTCAGGGTTCAGGGGTTAGGGTTTCGGGTTTCGGGTTTCGGGTTTCGAGGCTTTAGGTTGTGGGTTTAGGGCTTTCGGGGCTCTTGGTCCCCCTGCATGAGTTTGAGTTTTTTTTTGCCGGGTTGTCGAGGGGTTGAGGCTTGGGATGTTCCCCCTTATACTAACATTCCTTCCTAGGGATTCGAATTGGGGGGCGTTAGGGTTTAAGGTTTAGGGTTTAGGGTTTAGGTATTATAACCTCTATGAAGGACTGTTAGTTTGAGGGGGTTATCCCAAGGTTTAGGCTATAGGACCACCTTTTCAGGGAGCCTTGACAAGCCCTTCGAGCCTATGTCTCAAGTTCCCTTTTGCCCCTTCCCCCCCCTCGCCCCCTCCAAAGACGAAGACTTATCAAATGCGTAGTTTCTTTTTTGTCTCAAAGGTAAACCCTAAACCCTGAACCCTAAACCCTAAACCCTAAACCCTAAACCCTCAGAGGTATGGCATATACCGTGACTACTCCCATGTAGGGCGTGAAGTCGGTTGCCCGCCTCTCACTGGGAGGGAGCTTGTGCCGAGGTGCTCATGCGGTGGTTCATACAGCGCGCTCCGCGGCTGAAACTCTAAACGAAGGGTCTGGGGTTTTAGGGTTTCGGGTTTTGGGTTTTGGGTTTTAGGTTTTGGGCTTTGGGTTTAGGGTTTAGGGTTGAGGGTTTTAGGGTTGAGGATTTAGGGAACCCTAAGCCCTGTAAACTCCTAAACCTCAACGAGCTCTATCCTTACAAGCCCTACCAGTTGCTACCTAGGCAAAGCTGAGACCTCACCCCATCCGACAGCGATCCAGATTTGTGTTCGGGGCTTGGTATATCTCGGGTTTAGGGTTTAGGGTTTAGGGTTTAGGGTTTAGGGCTTAGGGTTTAGGGTTTAGGGTTTAGGGGTCTAGGGGTTTAGCGAGATGAGGGCTTTTGGTGTCTTATCCTTAAGGAAGATACGACAATGGAGATTCCAAAAGGGCCGGTGATTTAGAGCAGACCCTCATATGCCAAGACCTGGAACCCTCACACCCAATCCGTGGCATCTTTGCCCTAAACCCTAAACCCTAAACCCTAAACCCTAAACCCTAAACCCTAAACCCTAAACCCACAACCTCTGTAGCACCCCGAAGCCCCGGCCCCTCAAGAATTCCTGAAAGGCAGTTAGGATTTAGACTTTAGGCTCGGAGTCCTCAGACCTTAAACCCTAAACTACGAGTTGCCTAAGAACCCCGGAGAAAGAAAAACAACAACAACAAATTCAGGGTAACCTAGGGCTTATTGCTTTATATTCTTTGGGGTTCTCAAGCTTAAAAGTAGTAAAAACCCTCAAGCCTAGACCCTAAACAAAGGCACAGCATCCAGGGCCTTTGAGAGGGAAAGGCCTCCGAGGCTTCCTGGCTTAGGGCTTAGGGCTTAAGGCTTCCTGGCTTAGGGTTTAGGGTTTAGGGTTTAGGGTTTAGGGTTTAGGGTTTAGGGTTTAGGGTTTAGGGTTTAGGGTTTAGGGTTTAGGGTTTAGGGTTTAGGGTTTAGGGTTTAGGGTTTAGGTTAGGGCTTAGGGCATGGATCTTCGGGCTGGGTCTTTGGGCTGACCTTAGCAGCAAAACACTACTTGTTTGTAGGCTCTTGCTATCAAAGCCCTTCTAGGATTCTTCGGCAACCTGCAACCCTAAACCCTAAACCCTCAACCCTCAACCCTAAACCCTAAACGGCTCTCAAGGTAGAGCTTCGGGCTTCGGGTGTAAGGGCTCCAGGCTCTGCGTCGCAGGGCTTGTCGATGTGAATCCCTCTAAAAAAAAGAGCCTGAACCCTAAGCCCTAAACCCCAAACCTTAAGCCCTAAACCTTATATTGCTTGGTGGCCTCTTTAAGTAGGGTTTCTGCTTTGTAGGGGGTTCTTGTTAGGGTATCTAGGGGCTCTATTAAGGTATAAGGGTAACAGATAAAGAGGCCACCGGCCTTTATAACCTAAACCCCAAACCCAATACCCCAAAACCTAAACCCTAGACTCAAGCTCTTCGGTCCCAGGGCATCGTGCCTCTTTTCCGGACGGAACGTCAGGCCAGGACCCTGCGGCCGGGCTTCGGGGTTTAGGGTTTAGGGTTTAGGGTTTAGGGTTTAGGGTTTTAGGGTTTAGGGTTTAGGGGGTATAGCTTGGTAGCCCAGTGGTGCCCTTTACCCTTTTTTTGGTTCTGGGTTCCCTTGTAAAGTACCCAACCAACAGAAGGGTGCTGTACCCTTAGTAGAATATGGTTGCTGGGCTACGAAGATAGGGTCTAAAAATTAGAGGTTTGAAGAGGGAGCCCTATAAGCCCTGGGCCCTAAACCCTAAACCATAAACCCTATAAGCCCGGGTGTCTCTCATCTTACAAGACAGCACGGGCAGTAGGCGTTGGGAGCTTTGCTGCCCCTAAACCCTAAACCCTAAACCCTGAACCCTGATGACTCACGTCCAAGTTGGCTTGGCACATCCCAGGCCGAGGCCTGGAACAAGGTTGCGCGGCTCTAGGGTTTAGGGTAGAGGGTTGAGGGTTTAGGGTTAGGCAGCGTTTAGGGTTTAGGGTTTAGGGCTTAGGGCTTAGGGCTTAGGGCTTAGGGCAGAAGCCAAAAAGGCAGGGAAGCAGCACAGCATATGGTCCAAAAGACGGAAGATGCAAAAAGGGAGACCAACCCAAAATGGCTCATCCGAAAGGAGGAGCAGAAAGGCTCGAAGCGCCGCAACATGTTTCTTTTGTGGCAATGACGACCACAAGGCAATGTACTGCCCCAAGATGGGAGACGAGGCAACGACCTTGGAGCAAACATCATTGCATCCTACGTTGAGAGGGAAGGCCTCGTCAGAGGTGCGCCAAGTGGACGAGGGCGCAGGATGTGTGAAGAAAAAAGCAAACGACTTGTGGCAGACATCTGCAGGAGGGTTTAGGGTTTAGGGTTTGGTGTTTAGGGTTTAGGGTTTGGGGTTTGGGGTTTGGGGTTTTTGGGTTTGAGGTCTGGGGTTTGGGTTTTAGGGCTTAACAGCAAGGGCCAAGTCGTGGTGAACTTCGCCGGCGCGTACGGTCGCTCAAATGCTATGCTTGCAGGTTCAGGGTACTTTGAACTCACTTCAAACTGTAGTCATAGCCCATTTGTAAGCCTCTCAAGTAAAGCCTGGTTACTGGATATAATTGGGTTATAAGTAGAGTTATACTTGGGTTACTAAGTCCCATGTACCTCCAAGTGAGGGACCGGCCCAACCGAAAAGTCCTCGACCTGCATGGTCACAGAGCAGGGAAAGCCCTATGAGTCTAGGACCCAGAGTGGGCACCTAATCCCTTTAACCCTAAACCCTAAACCCTAAACCCTAAACCCTAAACCCTTTTTTTTCGGGCTAAAGGTTTGGAAGCTTAGGGCTAGGACCCACCCAAAGAGTAGCCCTTTATTCCCTTAAGTTAGGGTTTGGGTCCCCTTATAAACCCCTTTCCTTCTTTGCTCCTAGACTTCTCTGGGTCTAGAAGTCTCACAAGAACCCTAAACCCTAAACCCTAAACCCTAAACCCTAAACCCTAAACCCTAAACCCTAAAACGGTGGGACAGACATTGACGGAGGGTTTAGTGGGTTCTCGCACACGGCAAGGTCGCTAAGCTCCCGACGGCCTTGCAGCGTAGCAAGAATGCCTATATTCCCCTCGGCCCCCAGATCCTGAAACCTCACACCCTAAACCCTAAACCCGAATTCCTAAACCCTACATGAACCCTAAACCCTAAACCTTAAACCCCTAAACCCCAAACCCAAAACCCTAAACCCTAAACCCTAAACCCTAAAAAACCCTAAACCCTAAACCGTCCCAGAGCCTGGGCCAGGAGGTGGTCTTAGGGGCCCTTGGAAGCCTGCTCGCTCTGCCGAACCTCACAGAGGCCTATCATCTTTAGGGTTTAGGGTTTAGGGTTGAGGGTTTAGGGTTTCGGGTTTAGGGTTTGGGGTTTAGGGTTTAGGGTTTAGGGCTTAGGGTTTAGGGTTTAGGGTTTAGGGTGTGAGGGTTTGGGGTTTAGGGTTTAGGGTTAGGGTTCGGAGTGCAGGGTTCAGGGTTGTCCTCCATGCAGTATGGGGCGCATGGTTTGGCGTTCGGGGCGGCTGGGCGTAACTGCCGGGTGCAGAATCACAAACCCCAAGACCCGAAGCCGACGCCCTCCTCACGAGTTATAGATCTTTGTTTGCCGGCCCTAAACCCTAAAACCCTAAAAACCCTAGAGCCCGAAAACTCTAAAACCCTAAAACCATAAACCGGCAACTCTAACCTGGATCTTTTTGAGCAGCGCAGGTTTCATAGCCTATCTAGGGGCGTTATTGAGATATAAGGGTAAGTAGCTGAGTGAGTACACTTTACTTTTTGGGATACTATAATCCCCTATAGAACTGAAAGTGTACACTTTTGGGGGTTTATGAACTCAGCAACTAAATAAGGGTAACAGGTAAAGAGGCCACCGGCCTTTACAATGCATATGCCTGTCCAGCCTTACGAAGTTTCTGAACTGGAGCAGGCAAAGGCAAAGGTCAAGGGTTTTTGGGATTCCTAAACTCTAAACCCTAAACCCTAAACCCTCAACCCTCAACCCTCAACCCTCAACCCTCAACCCTCAACCCTCAACCCTCAACCCTAAGCTTGCCAACCAAGAACCTTCACCCTTTTCCATCCCCTAAACCCCCACATACCCAGCATCATTTCAAGACCCTATACCCCTAAGAGTTGCAGAAAGCCCCAAAACCGAAGCCTGAAGCCTCTCAGCTCAACTGTGAAGTGCTAAAGCCCTGCACCCCTCAACACCCTGGGCCCTGAACACCAAAACGCCCCAAAACCCCAAAAACACCCTGAACCCCTGGACACGAAACACCACACAAACTGAACCCTAAACCCTAAACCCTAAACCCTAGACCCTCGACCCTAGACCCTAGGCCCTAAACCCTAAAATCTCGGGCTCACCAGACGCAGCTCCAGTCCCTGGAGAAGCCACGCAGTGCCTTGCTCAGCTGCTTCAGGGGCTCCCCAGGTGTTCGGGGTTTTAGGGCTTTAGGGGGGTTGAGGGTTGAGGGTTGACGGTTGAGGGAAGACCCTGTAAGGAGAGGTTCAGGGTTTAGGGCTTTGGGCTTTGGGGCTTTAGTGCCTGTAATGAGGGCGTTTAAGATGTCAGGGTTTAGGGGGTTTAGGGTTTTGGGGTTTTGGGCTTTTAGACTTGTACGGTTCGGGGTTTTAGGGTTTTTGGGTGTAGGTCTTTTGTTCATCAGGGGTTTAGGGGTTTGGGGCTTCAGGGTTTATAGGGTTCAGGGGAGATGGTTTTGGAAACCTCAACACCCAACTTCAACCTCAAGCTGCCATTTGTGTTAGAGCTCCCCGCATGTGCCTTGAGGTGACTATCCCTGGAAGTACTACGGCGGCCACGAGCCGTGGAGAACGCCAGTGCTGGCGACTGCTGAAAAGCGCTCAGTGGCTGTTATTCTGCAGGGCCTACTAAACCCTAAGGCGAACTGCCGACTTTGGCCCTGCAAACTACAGTCAACCCCACATCGCCTTAAACCCTTTGCCCTAAACCCCCAAAATCCATAAACCCTGAACCCCAAACCCAAAACCCCACCCTAAACCCTATACCCTAAACCCACACAGGCACCCAGAGCTCCTGGAAGCCCCTTAGAAGTAGGCAGTCCGGTGCCTCACGGCGTTTATCGGGGGACATAGTTCCCGAATTCTCGACTAAAGAGCTATCATATTCCCCCCCCTCCAAATATCAGAGGGTCCAAACAGGGACTTCTCTCTTACAGTCGGCCCTGAATAACCCTAAGCCCTAAACCGGTTTGGCAGTTCGCACACCCCCCGAGAATCTCGAGAATAGAACAAGTGCCCAACAACCCCGAAGCCCGAAGCCCTTGAGACACAAAGGCCAAGGCCCCAACCCCTAAGCCATAAAGCCATACACCACAAATTGCTTAAGAACACCCAAACAGCACAAGATATTCTTTCTTGTAAACTTGTAAGGGCTGGCGAATCAAGATTTTCCTATGAAACTGCAGAAAGTGGAGGACTACGGTGCAGCCAGCAGTAGCAACAACAACAAATCCGCAAAACAAATTCGGACCCTAAACCCTAAACCCGCAACCCCAAACCCTCATCAGCGCGGCGAATCCTCAGGTACGATTCCAATATTATTGCGGTGGTCCTTAGCCAGCCGGGGCACCTGTGGGTTGCCTCAACCTAGGGTTTAGGGGTTGAGGGTTTACCCCTAAACCCCTGGACCCCAGGCGGAAATTGCTCTCTGTTGCCTCAAATCCACACCTCTAGCGGTTGAGGTTCAAGCAATTCGGACCCTGAAATCCTCCTGAGAGGCTTACCCGCTGTCTTTTGTTGGGTGTACCGAGCTTCCTTCTTGTAGCATCCTAGATTACTATAACCCTACTTATAATACCCCTAAAGGGCCTTATAGGGGTTATCCCAATTATAAGTAGGGTTATAAGTACAGTTATGACTGGTTAGTAAGTCCCATGAACCTTCAAGTACACCTCAGAGGGTCTGGTTTTTAAGCCATGGATTGAGAACCCAGGGTCGAGAAACAGGAAGCCTCAGAAGGGAGGGAGGCGCTGTAAAAGCCAGGAAAGAGAGGCGCAACACCTCCCTAGGGTTTAGGGTTTAGGGTTTAGGGTTTAGGGTTTAGGGTTTAGGGTTTAGGGTTTGGGGATGTGTGGGCTGTAGGGGGCTCAAAACCCTCCGCCCTTTCCTGACAATCCCGCAGCCCCAACACACCCTAAACCCGGAGCATCAGCAACCCTTCACAACCGAAGAACTTCAAGCCCAAAACACCTATCCCTGAAGGACCCAAGAACCCTAAGCACCCGAAAGCCCAATCCTTGAAGAACCTAAGAACCTCACACCCTAAACCGCCCGCGCTCCGCAAACCAGGCCACGGGGGGGGGGGGGGGGGGAGAGGGAAACCATAAACCTAAACCCTCAACCCGAAGCACTAACAATATACAAACCCGTAAGCCTTAAACCCAAACCCACCATGAAACACAGAAGAGAAGAGGGAAAGCCCGAAACCTTAACCGCCTCATCCCTGTCCACTAACTCTGAACCGTAAACCCGCCCCGAACCACACGGGGGAGAGGGAGCCGAAACCCGCACTTCAACCTTAAACCTTGAACCCTAAATAATCCTAGCGTCTAAACCCACCATGAAGGACAGACCATAAACCACGGGGGCGGGGGGGGTGGGTGGGGGGGGGAGGGGGTGGGTCTGTGAATGCACATTTTTTAAAAAGGCACAAACCCGAAGTCAAGTCCATCAGAACCTAGAACTCTAAACGCTAACTGCTAGCTCCATCCCCATCCTAAACCCTTAAACCGAAACCCTAAACCGCAAAGGTTCCTCCCACCAAGCCCACTGCGCGTGGGCGTGCAGGCGCTTCGGATCTTTTGAGGAAGGGCTTTTGGGGTTTACTGGAAGCCCTTTTGACTCAGAAAGTAGGGCGAGGGAGGTGGGGCTGGGGACGATAATCAGGTTTCTCTGGGGTACTAAGCAGTCAAAAGAGCTTCCAAGCAGAGAGTTTTTGGGGTTTTCTGGGGTTCAGACGTATGCACCCCCAGTTCAATCCTAAGGTGAGTTTGATTTCATGAAGGACTTCGGACCCGGAACCCCTAAACCCTGACTTGCACCCTAAACCCTAAGCCCTAAACCCTAAACCCAAAGCCCTAAACCCTAAATCCTAAACCCTAAACCCCAAACCCGAAACCTTAAACCCTCCACCCTTAGCCTTCGTTCGTACCTTGTTAGTGCTCAGTTGATTTCGCTGGCAACACGCAAGTCCCTGTGCATCTTAGACCTTGGACCTTAGGGGTTTAGTGCGGGGTTTAGGGGGTTTAGGGTTTCGGGTTTCGGGCTTAGGGAAGTTTGGGGTTGTGGGTTTAGGGTGGAGGACACGGTGTATGGTTCAGGGTTTGGGATATCGACCTTAAGCCACAAACCGAGCAGTTATTGCTCGAGTTCCACAGATCGTCGATACGTCATGGATAGCCTCCATTGTTTACGGGGGCTGTCTTGGGGAGGGGGCTGCCAATGTCCTCTGCCGTTCCCTAAACCCTAAACCCCAAAACCCCTAAACCCTAAACGATGCTATCCCTAAACCCGAAACCCTAAATCCTAAACCCGTAAACCCTAAACGATGACATTCTGGACCCAGCACCCACCTCGGGTTCGAGGCTCTCCGTGGTAGTTTAGGGTTTAGGGTTTAGGCTTTGAGACCTGAGGCTACAATCCACAGCCTCCTCCCTAGGGCTTAGGGTTTAGGGCTTAGGGTTTAGGGTTTAGGGCTTACGGTGTAGGGTTGAGGGTTTAGGGTTGACCTGCATCCAGGAAGAGATCTCGAAGCACGACTTCTTTCCCACGCAGGCACTCGTCTTGTTAATGTCAGCGGCTGTGCTTGGGCCACCGGTCTAGGGTTTGGGGTTTAGGGTTTAGGGTTTTGGGTTTTGAGTTTTGGGTTCAGGATTTTGGGTTTAGGGTTTTGGGTTTAGGGTAGCTTAGGCCTAAGCCCTGAAGAGCCAGGTGGTGGATGATGCAACGAACGGCTTCCACATGCGTACCTGGCCCCTTGGCAGCAGCACCTTACACGGCAAGCTACCCTGCTAGCGTGCGTCGTCTCTACTTTGCCAAGGCCAAAGCCCAAGCCCAAAAGCCCCGTAACCCTAAACCCTAGACCCAGGACCCTAAACCCTAGACCCTAGACCCTAAACCCTAATCCCTAAACCCTGAACTTTAAACCCTAAACCCTACCTCAACCCTATACGAAGCCCTAGTCTGCCCGAAGCCCGACATCCCTGCACCCTGCCGAGCGAAGGCGACGCAGCTCTTTCGAAACCGGGGAAGTTGAAAGGTCCAGGGTTTAGGGTTCAGGGTTCAGGATTTAGGGTTTAGGATTAGGGTACACCCCAAACCCTCAACCCTAAACCCTAAATACAGGTTTCAGGTTTACTCATGGAATTCTTGGGTTTGTTCTTGGGTTTGGTTTCAGGTTTCAGCGTTTCGTGCTTGCCCGCGCCTTTTCCAAAGGATCCCCTGAACTGCACTTGGCGGGAGGGTTTAGGGTTTAGGGTTTAGGGTTTAGGGTTTAGGGTTTAGGGTTTAGGGTTTAGGGTTTAGGGTTTAGGGTTTAGGGTTTAGGGTTTAGGGTTGCAAGGTTGCAAGTCAAGGTATCTGGCGATGCATGGCGCCCTCATCCTGCTCTTCATCTACGTGTTGGTAGAGGCCACCGGAAGCCACCAAATCCCTAAACCTAGAACCCGAAGACCCTAATTCCTACACCCCCCAAATCCTGAACCCTTAAGGGACCACGTTAAGGGAACTAAAACCCGCATACCCTAATTCCTGCATGCCCCAAATCCTGAACCCTAGAAAATCCTGGCTTCCGGCTATCGATAGCCTGCTGCGTAGCTCAGGCCACTTGGATCCATGAGGATTTGAGGGCGAGAGGTGTCAGGGGCCCATATTCCTTCATCTGCTATTTGCTTAAGAACCCCCCCCCCCAAACAAAAAAAGCAAATGGGTGTTCAGCAAATAGTAGAATATGAAGGGCGTAGTTGGGCTTATCAAGGTTGCAGTTGAGGAAACGGAGCCCCTACACCTAACCCTAAATCCTAAACCCTAATCCTAAACACTAAACCCCAAACCCTAAACCCTAAACCCTAACCCCTACACCTCCCCCCCTGCATCCTTATCCTTAAGGTCGTGCAACGGAGAATTCTTTCAATATCGAATCGGTGTTCGTGGCGGTCGACGCTGTGTGCTCCCTAGGCCTTAAACCCTAAGCCCTAACCCTAAACCCTAAGCCAAAAACCCTAAAACCCTCAACCCTGCTAAGCTCGAAGGCCATATGTAGGGCTCCTGTCAGGCCATGACGCTCTCTGGCATCATGCAACATGGCATCCTCGGCTGGCAACTCAGAGACTGAATTCCTTCAGTGTAGGGTCTTAGTTT